TGCCTTTCCCGGATTTCCCACATGGTGGTCGGGAATCTGACAACCAAATCTTTCTCCAAGGATTCTCCCAGCTCTGAAACCTGTCTCCTCACTGCCCTTCCTCTAGAAAGCAGAGCCCACACCGGACGCCCATCTCTGTCACCTAGGACCTCTGACAGAAAGCCGCAGGTCCTCCCTGGCACAGTTGACTGAGTAACGCTTGGCACTCTTATTTTGCCCCTTGGGCTTTGGCACGGTGGGTCGTCCTGAACGCCAACTCCTACACACCTTGGCAGCTCGGCTCTCGTGGACTAGTTGCCAACCACCCTTCCCCAATACACTGCGTCCTCTGGTCTCATCTCTGAGCAGGCCTCACAGGCACGTTCCTCTGCGGATCCTGGGAGAATTCCACCACCTCCCAGGCTGTCCTACCGCACCGCCCTCGCCCAGGCCCCCAGAGCGGCTAGGGCAACTGCGAGTCCTGTTATTTTTGCCTGGCGCGGGTTGATCTCCTGGGTTCTGATGCCAACGAGGAAGCTGAGTGTTAACGGAGTAAGTGTCGCCTGCCGCTGCGCTCTGGTCAGTCACCAGAGTAGTCTGAGAAAGTTGGCTTAAACTCATCCTAGAGGAGCTGCTGTCCTTCAAGGCCCGTCCGGGTTCCCCCGGTATGCGGGCCTTCAGCTCCTTGTCCACTTGACTCGCTGGGTTTGCAGTCTAAACGCAGCGGCAGTTTGAGGTCCTTTAAGTGTTGCTCGCCTAACTTTCCATGGACAGTCTGAGACGGAAATTGGCTTCAGACACAACATGGGCATCCTTAGAAAGAAATAATTCCCTCTCGCTCCCCTCTCCCCGCCCCTAGAGGGGCCAGCTCCAGGAGAAGCATTTGGCCCATTTTGATTCCTAAAAGCCGTCCTCAAAGGCTTTTAAGGTGGCAGTTGCCATGAAGTTTGAAATGAATGCCCTGGGGTGGAGAGAAAAAAGCAGCACAAACTTTCAGTGCTCTAAACGAGGCAACACACCTCAGGAAGTGCCTGGGTCGCCAAACATGAGAGCCAAAGAATCTGGGGGTGAATGCTGGGTCTTCAGAACCCTTGGCCAAAAAGATGCAAAGCGGCGAGCTTGGCACTCTGGATCCTACCAGGGCAGTCGGGCCTAGGTGGTCTAAGGCTAGCACACTACCGAAGTTGACTTGGGCAGAGGACCTGCACCGCCAAAACCTCAGAGGCAACAGGAGAAATCAAACATCATTGTCATTAAAAGTGTAGACCAGGCCTTAAGAGGAGGCCTGGGAAGAAAGAAAAGCAGTCTAACAAAGAGGGAAACCCTAACTTCAGCCTAGAAAGTCCCAGTGTTTTGTTGTTGTTGCTGCATAAAAAATAATAATAACAGTGTGATTGTAAAAGACAGGCGGCCTTTGACTACATAACGTAAAGGGGAAATTTTAGGGCTAGGAGAACCTGAGAAAAGTTTGAGTAGATCTTCCTCAAAAAAATGTAGGTCAGAAACAACTGAGGAAACACACCCCATCACACACTTCACATTCTGAGCATGGAGGAAGCTGTTTCTTAATCTGGTGTATGCGGGGTTGGGGGTGGGGGAGTTTTGGATCAAATTATTTAAAAAGACAAATACACTTATAACATTTTTAAAAAGTGTGATTACTTCAAAAAAATGGTTGGAAATAAACCATCATGGGGATACAAAAATGAAACCAAACAATTTCTTGAATCATCGTCAAATATATTTATTTACTGCTTTTAAAAATGAAAATGACAAACATTTTAAAAGTATTATTTAAAATACAACTTACTTTAGCCATTAGAAGTGTTTGAAATAATTTGTTTTAGTTGAAATGAAGTTAACAAAACTGGATTGGGAAAAGTAAGTAACTTGAAACAGAAAAGGCCTTTATTGAGGACAAAACTAAAGGGAAAAATTCACACTGGGTATGCATGGCAAAACTTTCTAGAATTCTCCTTTTGCGAAACGAGAGAAATTTGAAAATGCTCTAACTAAAAATAAATCTGTCAACGTTTAAAGTACAGTTTTGATAATGACATCGAATTAGACATTTTTGTGTATATTAAATGTAATTTGCTTAAATTTTAAAATGTAATTTTAAATAATTTGGAATTTTTCGTCCCAAGTGGTAGATTTTCTTTTCATTATCAAAAAATAGACAAAAGAAATAATGAATTTGTAAGGGTGTGGAATCTAGCCACAATGCACATTTAATTGAACTTAATTGTATACTTTATTTAGACTTTCTGTTTTTTTTTAATAATTTAGAATCAATAGTTCCCTTCAAAGCATAATAAAATATTTACACTTTATAAAATATTAACCGATTAAACAATACTGCCGTGTTGTTTATAAGAGTGTAGCTGAAGTTCATAATTATACTGTTGACACAAGCCAGTGAGGTTAGCGAAGTAATCCTTAGCAAAACTCAAACGACGATTTTCCGACAGTGATTTTTATAAAATAGCTCATTAATGACAGGATAGAATCGTTCCAACCATTCGCATCATCAGATATAATAATAGTGACGAATCAGACAAAAAAGATCCCCACTAAATGATTTGCATTTTTTTTCCAGAAGTCCTGCAGTCCTAATATCAATTCTTCTTAGTTCGTGGACATTGGGCCGGAGGTGGATTCTGTAGTTCCAACACCAAGGTAAGAAAGGAAACGGGGCAGGAGGGGTGTTATTACGGTTAATATAGAAATAAAATATATGCACTTCCCATTTTAAAAAACGGGCTAAGTTTGACAATGATAACTAAGTTTTTGAAGCACCTCTTTCAGATTTCGATATGCAATAATATTGTTCTTTTTAAAAGTTTGTCGATCAAACTTACAGTTTCTTTCTTTCATTGCTTCCAAAAACCCAAAACAAAACAACCAAAACCCTTTCAGCTACTTTCAAGGGTTGATTTACTTGAGCCATTTTGCTTTCGCGGGCTTGAAATTTTCTGTAGCCCCTTTGGCTGGGCATGTTCGTGGCAGCACGGAATTTGGAGAAGGAAAAAACAGGGAAAAGAAAAAGGCTTCCTAAAACTGCGGTGGCTCCCTGAAGAATTACTACCCTGCTAGCCTCTGCTTGACTCTGCTCCCCTGTCGCCTGGGGCTTATGGTGAAGTTGGTGGGCGGCTCCTTTGAGTGGGACTCACCGAGGTCTCGGCACCGAGATCTAGGCCAGGGACAGGTTTCGTTTCGGGGACCCTCTTTCTTTCAGAAGCCCTCAGGCCTCCCTGGCCGAGGGCTTGCGACTCTTGGGGCGTGGGAGGTCGGTTACCAAGCAAGTGGACAGCAGCCTAGTCTCCAGCGCTAGCTGTGGATTCAACCTCCACTGGTCCAGCTCAAGGCCAGGATTTAGAATTGCCTCAAGCGCGTTTCCCGAAACCGAATTTAGTTTGGCCCTCTGGCGCCGCCGTACAGTCAATGCTTCTTAAGGGGGACTAGTGACTCTGGCAACCGGTGGAAGCCGAGTCCTTGGGGTCCTGGGGAACAGGAGAGAAAGCCCCGGTGCACAGAAGGGACAGGAGGTGCCGCCAGCTCAAGGGGCTTTTCTGGCCCGAAGGCCGGAGAGGACAGATTCATATTTTCTCCTCTGCGGTCCCAGCGGCTGACAGACGCGGGATGCACCAGGCACCTCGCCGGGGCCCCGGCCCCTGCCCACGTGCTTTTTTTTTTTTTTAAGGAGGTCCGCGCCCATGCGGGATGGCCAAGACAAAAGCGCGGCCCGCAGCCGGGTTTGGGTCGGCGGTACTCGCGCCACCTTAAACAAGTAACGCGGCGCGAGCCGAAAAGCTAGGGCGGCTGGAGTCCGCAAAAGTTTGTGGCTCCTAAGCTATAGAAGGACTAGCTAGGGTCTCATCGGCGGTGCCTCGCTCGGGACGGAGAGGCTAGGTCCCCACGGCTCGGCTCTGCTCGCGCCCGAACTCCGTCCCCAGCCGCTGAGGGTCTTCGGGAGCCCCATTGTCGCTACCCGAGGACGCGCAGCTTCAGCGCTGCGGCTGGCACAGTGTTCTGGCCTCCGGGCAGCCCTGGCTGTGCCGCTCGCAACGTAGCCCGCGTGGCGAGAGTGGTAGGGATGCATCCTGCCTTGTGCCCACGGAGCAACCCTCTCTCCAGTGCGGGACCCACAGCCGGACGGGCGGAGTCTCGCTCCAGGCATTCGGGACACCCGGGCTATTGTTCCGGACCCGCGGCCGCACCGGATTTGAGGGCGAAGTGGCCTTTCCCAAACACGGCCGGGAGCGCATCGGGCCGGGCCGGTCGGCTCGGAGCTGATGGGGAGCTCGCTTGCACCGAGAAAAGTTGCTCCGAGGGGCGGAGGCGGTGGGTGGTGGGCGGAGGCGGTGGGTGGGGGAGGCGATCGCCCTCCTATCTCCAAAGTCGAAAGTACTCCGCGGCGCAGTTAACAGAACCCGGAGACGAGGCAGCCTCTGCCGCCTCCCGAGCGCCAGTCTGCGCCTCTGCGGCGAGCCGCGGCACCGAGCGCCCGCCTAGTCGCCGCAGCCTGCGCGCCCGGACGAGTGCGCCTAGGGGCTGGGCGAGGCGGCTGCGCCCTGGACTAGCTACAAGGAGGAGGACCAGACCCTGGGCCCTGGCGTTCGTCAGCGCCTAGACGCACCCATTCGTCGGCCGTGGCCACCGCCTCGCGCCACACTCAGTCCTCAGCCCTCCGTCCTTCGTCGCCGGGTGCATGAGGTCCTTGCCACCCCTCTCCCACCTCCGACTCTCCCTTCCTCCTTTCTCCTTGCCTCCCACCCCTTCGCCTATCCCTGTGCCTCCTCCGCAGCCCGGCTCGTTGGGTCGCCGTGCTCACTGCGATTGATTGATTGATGTTTAATTTCCTGCCAGGCGGGGCCCCCCTCCCCCCGCAACCTCCCCAGCCCTCCTCCCCGCCCCCCACTCCCCTCCTTCATTGCGGTGGACCAGTCTGGCTTGGGTTTAGATCCGTCCCCCCCATTCCCATCCCGAAATAACCCAGAGACATCCCCTACCCCCACCCCAAATTATTATTTTGAAGGCGCTAGATCTGGGGACCGAAAGGGGGAGGGGGAGAAATCGGAAACCGAGGACAACCCAAAAGGACTCACTTTGCCTGATGACTCAACGCAACTAATAATCATCTCCCTCTCAGTGTCTTTCTCTCTGCGGCTTGTCAGTGAGTCCGGCTCTGTCTTCTGGCAGAGGCGGCCGCGAGGGGAGAGGTTGGAGGTGACAGCTTGTGCGGCCGCCGCGTTTTCTATTGCGCGCGGTCCGGGGTCTCCGCACCTTCCCCGCTCTTGGTGGCACCGTCCCCGCGACTCCGGCCGCGCCTCCTCTGGAGCTAGCGGCTGTAGGAACCAGCAGCCGCAGCAGCCTCCCAGTCCTCAGCCCTTTCTCTCCAGAACCGGTCTTCTACCCGAAGGTGTGAAAGGCTCTTTCAGCCCCCTCTCACCCCCCCTCCGCCGTCCCCTCCCCCTCTCGCTCTGGTGCCCCTTTGGAGGAGTCCTCCTTTCCTTCTCCTCCTCCTCCTCCTTCACCGCCCCCCGCCCCCATCATCATAACAACCATCTCCGAACCAGAAGAAGACACCCTGACCCAGGACCTTAAACACTAGGACCGGGGAAGAGGAAAAGGAAGGGGGAAGGAGGAAAGAGAAAGGAAGACTAGGACAACACTGCAAATCACCAGAAACTTTCCACCCTGGATTCTCTACTTTTGCTCCATGGACAGAGCCCCAGCCAGCCAAGTTTCAGACAGACCGTGAGCAGTAAGTACGCTGGGCGAGGGCTCCCACGCGGCGCCCGGAGTTCGGGAAGCCCGGGACGCGCTAAGTTCCCCGGCTCTGGCTCTCACCCGCGCCTAGGCGAAGCCGGGGAAGTGCGGTGGAGCCTTCACTTTGCAACCCCTCCGCGCACCCCGCACTCCTACATCTCTCGCATTCTTCCTTCCCTTCTCTGCCCCCCCCCCATCTTGTCTCGAACCTCGGCGACTAGGCTTCTCCCGCATCCAAAGCGCCCTAGAGGATTCTCAGAGCCTCTGAAGTATTCGGGGTTCCTCTCACAGGTTTCAGTGGCAATGTGGGCGCCGGTTTCATCAGGTGTTTTCCCTTCTTCTGGGTCACTCCTCCAAAATTGAAGAGTGCGGAGAACTGCATGGAGAACTGCTCGCCTAGGGACCTCGAGAAAAAACTTTCCAGATTTAGAAATTAGGATTAATGAAGGCTGCTCCCGCACCTAAGAATCTAGATTTCTTTCTCTTGTGTTTTATGCTTAATGGCTTAAAACAACAACAACAACCACTACATCCAGGATACGATGAAGGGTGCTCCCAAATAATAATTGTGACCCTGTGATGGAGGATAGACTTTCCAAACCTCAAAGTGTTTGGGGATGCTCACTCACGTGGAATTATAGTTAATTTTTTTGTGCAAAGGTGTATATTTGTGTATACAAGTGTTCTTGGTTCATAAAGGTAAAACTTGGGGAGTCCATGAGTCCATTCATTGATCCAGCTTGGCCATTCACAGCGCATTTATCAAGCAATTAATTTGCTTAAGGATCCTTGTAGGTCTAAGCTCCCTCTCTGGCCAGGTGGGACCTCTTGCTCTTAAATACTCACCTTTCAAAACCCTGGATCCCCAAGTGAGGGACGGGGTGGGGGGCTCTTTATCATAGAGAGGCTAATAACAGCGCTTCCCACAATGAATGGGGTACTGGTAAGGGCTTCGAGGTCCGACTCTGTTCACACAACCGGGAGCTAATTCTTGGGACATGAGACAGAGCAGGTCTTAGCACCTCAAGTTCTGAGCAGCTCTGGGTACTCCAGTGTTTGGTTGGGATTTGCTTTCCCGGGACCCTTCGGTACCCTTCTGCAGCGAGGGAGGAAGTTTGTGTGGCTGCGGTGCAGTGCTCTGCCACTGGCCTGATCGTCTATCACGTGTGTGAGCGGTTTTCCCTCTTTTTTTTCCCTCCCCCTTCCCTCCCCTCCGCCCCCTCCCTAGGTCCCTGTGCGTTTTATTGCGACCTGCCGGTGGGAACTTTGTCTCCAAATCGGAGCAGCATGGAGCGGCGGAGCGAGAGCCCGTGTCTGCGGGACAGCCCCGACCGAAGGAGCGGCAGCCCCGACGTCAAGGGGCCTCCCCCGGTGAAGGTGGCCCGGCTGGAGCAGAACGGCAGCCCCATGGGAGCCCGCGGGAGGCCCAACGGCGCCGTGGCCAAGGCCGTGGGAGGTAACAGCCCGGAGCTGGGAGGTGCGCGAAGCTTGAGGCCCAGTGATAATGGCCTGGGTGTCAGGGTTCAGGTTGATTAGGCGCTGTTTCGGTGTAGGATTACAGGAAGTCAAATCCAGGTTGCCAAATAATGCCCTAGTTGCCTCTCCGCAACTAGTAGTAGCTTCATCTCGAGTTAAAACAAGAAAGTGGTTTACCCAGAGGGTGGCATTTTTTGGGCACTTTGCCACTGTGTGCTGAGGTGTTGGCAGGTCTGTGTCACAGCCAGCTAACTGTTTCTAGATTTTCCTAGAGAGCTCTTTAGTGTTCCTTGCCTCGGATCTATCTGTTTTAGGGCTGAAGCTTGTATGCCTTGATTTTAGTGGGACAGAGACCTAGGATCAGGCTGGAGCAGAAGCAGTGGCTTTGGTGTTCTTTTGTAGCTGGGACATTGCTGAGACAAATGTGACAACTAGGACTGTCTCTTGCAGAAGTTCTAAGGGAAAAAACCTGAAGGACCACCGTGAATCCATTATGTCCTAAAGGATTTGATGTTGTTTTGCCTGCAGAGTTTAGACACAGCTGTTCGTAACTTTGTTAGGAATTAGAGAATTGGGTTTAAAACAGCAAGCAACTTTATTTGCTGCCTTCTACTTCCCCACCCAAGAATTAAATATTATTTAAAGGACATCTTTGATATTTTCATTACATCTACAGATACTTTCTTCAACAGTGATTAGTAATCTTATAAAATAAGACCAGAGAGGAATTTAAATACTGTACTTTTGGGTTTGCAGGGCAGTCAACTAGTTGTTTCATACATATGAAATGTACAGTTTTACATGGCATTCAGACTGTTTTGTTTGGGATAAATTATTCCTTTAATTTTATTATGCCTGAGATTCCCCTTCACCCCAGATGCTTTCAGCAGCGGCATGTTTAATGTAATTCTTAAACTTAGTGATAAAGTTCCACCTCCCACCCTCCATCCCCCTCCCACATCCACGCCTGTGTTTGTGGTGACCATCAAATTTTGGAATAAATGCTTAGTATGAAATGTCTCTACACACCTAAAAAAGATGACACTTTTCTGTTTTTAATTTTATTACTGTTTTTCATGGTGGTAGTCATTAAAGCCAGCTTGCCTTAATTCTTTAATTTGGCCATTTCTCTTGAGAAGCAGCCTTTCTCTCAATTTTTAAAGTTTTGAAAGCATGATTTAGCTCTGTATAGTCCCATTTAGAGATGTGAAGATATACTTTTAATGAGGGGAAAAGAAAGGAAAAAGAAATGAGCACGCAAGCAAATCTGGTAACTCACTTTTCAAGAGTGGGGTTCATGAGTGTATCTCCCCAAGACCAGAACAATGACCAGCCTTACTTTATGGACACATAATGGAGAGAACTCTATCATAGACACAGTAGGAGCAAGCCTGAGACATGGCTGTACATGCTGCTAATGTCCAGTGAGAATGTTTTGGAAATCCTTGGAAAACTCGTATTCTGAAAGTCACCTTTTATATAAGAAAAATCTTGGATTTAGTAATTTTTGTGTCTCATTGTTAATCCAGTACAGTTCAACTGCACACTCTAAGTTCTCTGAGGTCTTTAGACAGTTACAGTGTAACTACCAAGAATCCTTCAACAAAGCTGTCTTCTTTTTCTTTCATGTCATATTGAACTAGGAAAGAAGCCGCTTCAGTCTGTTGATTCAGGGTCACTTTAGTATGGAATGATTGCTCCTTAGCAGATTTTCTGAAATTACAATTTGCTTTTGACCACTGACTCTCAATTTGCTACAGATAAAAATATTGCCTTTGTGAAAAATAATAGATTTGTTTTAAGAAACTTCGCTCATTAGCACCTTGGAGGCTTAACTTCTTTTAGAAACAGTGGGTCCTATAGCATTCGCCTTACTGTACAACATTTGTAGTGCTTAATAGTAAAGGGGATATGGTGGATTTGTATATGGTGAGTTTATAAATATTCTTTTAAAAAAGCTTTAATTCTCTACAGCATAATAGACTCTTTGGAATCTGTCTATTCTAAATAAATTAATTTAGAGACCTTCAAAATATAACTTAGAATATCAAAGTTTGTATTGACTTCTAATAATTATTTTGTTGGCTTCAGTTTATAAAGTTCCCAAATGTATACTAAGATGTTTATAATTTTATTTCTTTATAACTTCTAATCATGTATATAGACTGGAGGAAAGCCAAGCCTTTTAAAAATATATATTCTAAATTAAAAAAAAGTTCAAAGTATTTTTCTAGTTAGAAATACTTTCTAATTGAAACTTTTTTCTTTTTACATAGGATAAATATAGAATATATTTCCACCATTCTACATCTCTTGTTGAATATTCTTTATAAAACAAACATAGATAGTCACAAAAATATTTACTGCTGAGCCATTTGTTTTCATTTTCGGGTCTGTTGCACGATGTCCATGCGGGACATGGACTATGTACACAGAGTATTTGGAAGCACATGCTTGTTTCTCTTGAGTGTTCCTCCTAAAAATTGTTCTCCTCACAGAGATAGGGAAAATCATTATATTAATTTGGTTGCTCAGTAAAATAGCAATTTATCCCACCGCTTTTGATAAGCAGGGAGAGATAAATGTTTTTGGTTGGCTGACAGAGTATGTTCTGTTGCTGCTCTCCTTTTTAAAGAGTGGGAACTTGATAGGATTTTTGATGAGACTTAGATATTGATAAAAGGGGGGCATTCTTATATGTAGAATCTGGTTTGAACCAGTTGGAAGTGGTGAATGCTCCATCACAGTCTCTAGTTGTTTTATGAATCTACTTATGCTAAGTCAATACCTCGTGTACAATGTGGTCAGCCTTAGATTCCCATTAGCAACTACACCGGTTTGGCATCTTTTCCATACCCCCAGGATGTTTCTGTTCTTTATGCTGTATTTTTCAAAGCATGTGTGTAATGAAACGGAAGGGCTTGGATGTATGTAAAAGTCAGCTTTTGTAGAAGGTCTTCAGGGGAAAAAAGGCTAATATCTCTTTAAAAAACATATGAAGGCTGGGAGAGAGTTTAGACAGGCAAGAGCCTTGTGGTGTTGACAGCTTTATATCCCTGCTGGGTGACATTCACTTACTAGAATTGGCGTCCCCTCTCAGCTAGTAATTCACTCCATAAGGATTTGGAAAAAGGATGATTAATGGTGGGGGAATTTATATTTGCAAAATTGTTGATTAAAACTATTTGAAGACTTAGATAAAAAAAGAAGAGATTATTAAGGATGAGTTAACTAAGCATCAGACTTACCTTTTTCTCCACTGTTAGCATGCGCCCACAAGGCTGTGCTGTGTGGAATCCAATGGCCAGGCAACCCACAGCCTAAAATGAAAGTGGGGCCAGGGAAGTCTGAGAGGAGCCCAGGCTTCTGCCTTTTTTCGTGGAGTGCTGGAAGGGCCAGCCAGTTGTGCTTTACTAGCAGTAAGTTATTGTGCCTCATTCATTGTTAACACAAGCATTTTCACTTTTTAATGTTTAGCTTCAAGAGGAACTTTCAGACAGCTTTATTTAAACTGAATGAACAGCACTCGACTATACCAGATGGTGTAATTGCTGATAGGAAGCATTAAACATCAGAAATCTTTTTGGTATTTTTCTTTTTCCTAGGATTTTTTAATGCTTTTTTTTTTAAAGTATGTGTGTGTGTGTGTGTGTGTGTGTGTGTGTGTGTGTGTGGTGTGTGTTAAATGTTCTAGTTTGAGGGGGTTGAAATTTAAACATTGAGGATGTCTTATTGAAATACCTGTCCATTTTGTTAAAAAAATTGCTTATTTTTGAAAGACATTTTGCTTTAAAAATAACTTGATTTTATTGGAACTGCTGACTGGAGTTGCCTCATAAGAAAACTCCCTGAAGTAGATGGCTCTCCTTGCTTCCAGGTCTGTTCAAAAGCATAGCTGTCTTGTTGCAAGGGGAAAGAGTCATTATGCAGTACACACTTGCTGCATTCAAACAGAGAACAAATGTGATCAAGATTGTTAGGCAGGGCCTCATTTAGAGCTAACATCATCTCCAACAACTGTTAGCTTAATTGTCTACATGTGGAACATTTCCTTTTCGATTAAGAGTCAAAGAAATGTGGATCAGGTCAGGTGGAGACAAAACATTAGCTGTGGGGCAGCAGTAATTTTACTTTTAGAAAGCAGTGCTAATAGGAAAGAGTATATATATATATTTATGTAATATTGAAATATATAAAATACTTAGAACTATAATTGTCAACACAGGGAAATGGAGAGAACTCTGTTTCCAAGGATGACTATCATAAGGTACGGTGGCAGTTGGAGCATATGCTTGTAGGAAGGACTCAGTGTTTCAAGAGAGAAGGCTTCTCTACGCCAGCCACACTGTTATTACTATTCTAAATGGAAAAGTTTAATGTCTTTTAAGAAGAATATGAACTTAGGCTTGGGGGTCATCTAACCGTCTAACATGTTCTCTGTAGTTTTGCTGAAGTAGAAAAATAGCTCTTCCCTAAAGTGTTTTTAGCCCTTGGCCTGTTATTAAAATAAAGACATACTTGGTTAAAAAAAATATATGCAATGGAACATACACATTAAACAGAACACAGGGTATCCGCCCTCAAAGTCCTGAGTGTAATTTGGTGTTTCAAGTAATTTTGGAAGTTTCATGTTCCATCAGCAGAAACCCACTGACCATTATATAGTGAAGTTCTGCTGCTGTGTGTGTGTGTGTGTGTGTGTGTGTGTGTGTGTGTGCTTAAAACTACAAAGACGTCCCTTAAGCATCTGTTTTTTAACTGGTGCAGAAAATAAGCAATACCTTCATTTCCTGAAGGCCATGACTAGCAGAGGTAATTTGTTCATCCTAGATATCCTGTATTAATTCTTTTACTTTTTAATTCCTCTTTCTCTATAGGAAGAGAAAATAGATTAATCATTATTTATAAGATATGTGAGAATATGAATTTGGGTAATTTTAAGGACAAGGAAATCAGTTATTTCAGTCCAGACTGGTAATT